AGGGCAGAAAATACGGTAGAGAAGGGCGCACGCATTCTCTACTACTCTCGCATTTCACACACACAAGCACACGGCGCGCTGTGATTCGCGCGCTCCCCACTATCCGCTCACGTACACACTTTAAGATCCTCTGGCTCTAAAGGGTTAAATGATATTTAAAAAAAATAATTCCTTAAGTTCTCTTTTTAGGAGTTTCATCTTTTCCACGGTGTCATTGTGTTCGGAAGCGACGACGTGCACACATTGCTGCTTTTTGTTATTGTACTCGGTTATACAGTGCCTGTTCTCGTTGATCACATTATCCATCAACACTTACGGTGCGGCAAAGGTAATGCAGTAGATTTTCCCCTTCTTCATTCTTAGTTCCGGTAAATACAATGTTTGGTTCAAGCATTTTACTCGCGAGACTGCACTTTAACAACTTCAATAGATATGACTCGGTTTGTAGAAAGTATTCGCTAAATATACATGAGCATTAGATAACAACTTCATACTAAAGGTCACAAGCCATAATGTCAATTAGTGAAAAAAACTGAGTAATTATCAGAGGATAAACAAACACTCCATTCCCTCCTATCACGTCAGAAATAACAAGTGTTTTCCTTAAGGCCAAGTCAAGAATTTCCTCAGCATCGTCAGGTTCCGTGCGAGGATCGTCACACACCGCGCCGTAATCCCTTTAGAGCTCCATCGTCCTGAAATCTTAGCTTTGTAATCCACGTGGTAGGCAGTATCCTGCTCAAAGTTGATAGCTCCCAGATTAGCACCCGGCTTCTGGCAAATTCATTCGGCTAGCGAGTAGTTTCTAGTATTCACCACAATGTGAAGCAACGTATTGCCCCTTAACAGCTCTCTTGCGTTCATATCGACCCCCATTAGCGAAAGTATCTCGATTTTACACTTGGCGTTCTCCTAGTCCCACTCAGCCACTGGGTGAGTGGCTTGTCTGCCACAGACGTCGTACTGGTACAATACGTCCGTGTATCGCATGGTTTGCACAGACTCTAGCAGCTCTCTAATATTCCCTTCGCGGCACATGTACTGGAAAGCATTCCCTTCGTAATCAGTCACTTCAACAAACTTTTCGCCATTTTCAGTCCCGTTTTGTTCCATGCTCTGCGTCGTGGCTACAGACGCCTCTTGTCTTGTGTCGTGTTCTGCGAGCGGGCGCGGGGTGAGGGGACGCGCTCACCCCGCGCGCGTGGCGTCGGCTGGCTTCCGTCAGTAACTTGCTCGGAAGAGCCGGCTAGGCCTTACTCCGGTCAAGCCTCGGCAAGACCTGTAATAATCGTTTTCCTCGCTCCGGGGTGGAAAACGGGTCATATTTCAGTTCTGTGCCTTCGGCTTGACCTTCGGTGACCTGTCTATCTTCTGCCGGCGCCTAGTACTACTTTATAACAAGGGTATTGTGATAGTTTTAAGGATGAATATCTAATTAAAACCAAAGGCTGATTATTGTCAGACTATTTAATTTAATAACATAGAAGGACAAACACACGGACCATTCCGCATCAAAAATAGCGTTAGAAACACTTTATAAAAATATGGAAAGTAATTAAACAAAACCAGCGGACATGCCGATTAAAACATAGTAAAGGAAAACCTTTACTGAAATATAACATAAATTAGTCAGGTATTAAAAATTTAAGTAATTAAGGAACTTAATATCTCGATAATTATATATCTAAGTATATATTATGTATGATATTATGAGATAATCAATCATATATAAGTAAGTATACTTTGCACAAGTTAATGAGATCATAAAAAATCACATTGACACCTGTCAATTGTCTATCTATCTCAAGATTAATATGATAATTTACAACAAACTGCTAAATAGCAGAAAATCAATCAATAACATTCTCATTTCCATTCCTGGGACGATCTACTGACTTACAATAATGTTTGAAAAAATTATTCGCCCCTCTCCAATTCCCTCTTTCTAAAATCTAAAGGCACATTATTTTCAAAATTAAAAGACCTAATTGAACCCGGGCTACAATTAATTCCCAGGTCTCGTAGGGGCCTTTGAGTCATCCTGCAATTACAGTCCTTGAGACTGCTTTTACCACACCTCTTGATGTTATAAATAAGCTTTGTAGTTCGGGTCGCAAACTCCGTCTACCTTGTGATAAAGCAAGCAATCTATTTACCCATTTAACTAAGCTTAGACCAGGGTCTCCTGAACAAGATAATTGTCACCCCGATTGTCGAAACCGTTTTGAATCCGAATCTTGGCCAAAACGATATTGAAGAATTGGACCGATCACAATGGTCGCTAGAAATGCTTAAAAGTGTAAGTGTAAGTGAATATGACGTCCTGAGGTCAACAACAGTGGATAAGCTACGTGTCGAGAAACTTGAAAAATGCTGTTTTCAGCAGGTCTATTAGATTAAAGCCAAATAACTAAATCCCGTATATTCCAAATCTGTATTTTCGACGACCATGATGAGCATTGGTTTATTTTTATCGCTTTAAGCATTGCTCAAATTACTCAAACTCGAAATTTACAAACTCTGCAGAATTCTTGTGATGTCCGGCTACCAAACAGGCAGGGTACTCTCGAGTGCGATTATTTGTTACCAGGAAAAATGGCCAAGGGTTAGTTGTACGGGTCACGAAGTTTGAAACCTTTGCAGATAAATGAAAGAGTGCTCAATAAATCCTCAACCCTTTTTGTACTTTTTGGAGGATGCGCAAAAAAAGAGCGAGGGTTAATGAGCAGAAAATTTCATTTTCCAATAAAATATATTTATTAAGTTATCTTCACCAGAGGGTCTTCTGATTGGTTTTTGAAACAGTTCTCGGCCTGTAAATGAAATTCGCAGTCAATAACCTCAAGCTCGAGTCAGAAAATAGCGAGATTTAAAAAAGTCATCCAGTTAAATTCCTAAAATATTTACCTCTCATCATTCGGGGGCGTGATTACAATCTTCGGGATCCTCCACCGCTGGAATCGAGACGGTTGAGCACCTGGGCTATGAGGTCTCGACCCGGACCATCTTCGAGTCGGAGATTCAGATCGTAAAGGAGGTCCGGCAGGTTTTCGCCCATGACCGGCGTTGGTTCTAACTAATCTCTGCTCAACTGGGTTCGATCGACCAACGGATGCTCTCCTCTGACTGGTTATCGGCCTGTGAATTGAAGGCATACCGACAATCAAAATTCCGTCAAAGCCCTAAAAGACCTGATTGAAAACACGCGACACTTCGATGGTACTTACCTCGATGGATGAGAATGTTTTTTCATTATATTTCCAGCTTCACTAATCTCCGCTATCAGCACTAAGACTAAACATGCCAATATGAGTTTGTTCAACTTCATTTTCACTTTCAAATCGGGATAGTCGATGGTCAACCACTTCACGCCAGATCCTGAGGATAACTAACTCTTGGGTCTCTAAGCAGGCTCTTATATCCTAGTCCATAATTAGGATATGACTCGCAAGACAAACCCAAATATTGTGGCCCAGCTAATTGTTCAAAGGCCACAAGTTGTAAAAATAATTTCTTATAATTTGACGACTTTAAACAAGTAATTTTACAGGACGATAAAATTTGTAAATTAAAAATTTATTGCTCTGGCTGGATATTATTTTTTCATGTTCTTTATTCCTTGCGGCTTCGTAACGACAATTGGGTTAATTAGCGAGGGTTATTAAATAAAATGCCGCTAACTAACTCCATAAATTACATCTTTTATATACATTTTTAATGGTTCCAAAAGTGCTAAACAATTCATCTATCCCATCTGCGTAACAGAAACTTTATTCTGTCTGAAGATTTTTATTTATTTTTTTCCTTTAACCCTTTAGAGGCTGGCCTTGAAATCCTACTCTTAGCTCGAATCGTCGAATCGTGCATCTTCCTTTTGAAGTGAGAGAACTGTACTCCTTTACATAGAGAAAGGGCAGAAAATACGGTAGAGAAGGGCGCACGCATTCTCTACTACTCTCGCATTTCACACACACAAGCACACGGCGCGCTGTGATTCGCGCGCTCCCCACTATCCGCTCACGTACACACTTTAAGATCCTCTGGCTCTAAAGGGTTAAATGATATTTAAAAAAAATAATTCCTTAAGTTCTCTTTTTAGGAGTTTCATCTTTTCCACGGTGTCATTGTGTTCGGAAGCGACGACGTGCACACATTGCTGCTTTTTGTTATTGTACTCGGTTATACAGTGCCTGTTCTCGTTGATCACATTATCCATCAACACTTACGGTGCGGCAAAGGCAATGCAGTAGATTTTCCCCTTCTTCATTCTTAGTTCCGGTAAATACAATGTTTGGTTCAAGCATTTTACTCGCGAGACTGCACTTTAACAACTTCAATAGAAATGACTCGGTTTGTAGAAAGTATTCGCTAAATATACATGAGCATTAGATAACAACTTCATACTAAAGGTCACAAGCCATAATGTCAATTAGTGAAAAATACTGAGTAATTATCAGAGGATAAACAAACACTCCATTCCCTCCTATCACGTCAGAAATAACAAGTGTTTTCCTTAAGGCCAAGTCAAGAATTTCCTCAGCATCGTCAGGTTCCGTGCGAGGATCGTCACACACCGCGCCGTAATCCCTTTACTCCCTCGTCCTGAAATCTTAGCTTTGTAATCCACGTGGTAGGCAGTATCCTGCTCAAAGTTGATAGCTCCCAGATTAGCACCCGGCTTCTGGCAAATTCATTCGGCTAGCGAGTAGTTTCTAGTATTCACCACAATGTGAAGCAACGTATTGCCCCTTAACAGCTCTCTTGCGTTCATATCGACCCCCATTAGCGAAAGTATCTCGATTTTACACTTGGCGTTCTCCTAGTCCCACTCAGCCACTGCATGAGTGGCTTGTCTGCCACAGACGTCGTACTGGTACAATACGTCCGTGTATCGCATGGTTTGCACAGACTCTAGCAGCTCTCTAATATTCCCTTCGCGGCACATGTACTGGAAAGCATTCCCTTCGTAATCAGTCACTTCAACAAACTTTTCGCCATTTTCAGTCCCGTTTTGTTCCATGCTCTGCGTCGTGGCTACAGACGCCTCTTATGTCTTGTGTCGTGTTCTGCGAGCGGGCGCGGGATGAGGGGACGCGCTCACCCCGCGCGCGTGGCGTCGGCTGGCTTCCGTCAGTAACTTGCTCGGAAGAGCCGGCTAGGCCTTCGGTCAAGCCTCGGCAAGACCTGTAATAATCGTTTTCCTCGCTCCGGGGTGGAAAACGGTCATATTTCAGTTCTGTGCCTTCGGCTTGACCTTCGGTGACCTGTCTATCTTCTGCCGGCGCCTAGTACTACTTTATAACAAGGGTATTGTGATAGTTTTAAGGATGAATATCTAATTAAAACCAAAGGCTGATTATTGTCAGACTATTTAATTTAATAACATAGAAGGACAAACACACGGACCATTCCGCATCAACAATAGCGTAAGAAATTGTGGCGAGCTATCCGCTCCAATTTTATACTTGGGCAACCGCCCTACATTTCGACGAAGAAACGCTCCGCTTATGCGCTTTGGGCCAGCGGCGATGACTGACGTCACGCATTACGTAGCTCGCCGGGCGTATGCGCATCCTTGTCGCACGCGCTCGCTTCGTGATGATGCGTGCCTGCTCGCGTCGTCGCGCCGTCGGCCGAACAAAAATAACTCTGCATATAGCTTTGCTTGCGTACGACCGTCACATTGCTAATAATTAACAATTGAGGGGTATAGGTTCAAAAGTGCCTCTGTCCACTTTTTTCAATTTCGAGATAAAGACCAAAACTGAATACTGTCTACTAAAGATAAAAATATTACAATAAAAATTTGCCATCTAAGAACTGTGTTTGTTTTAAAGTAAATATTACTGCAGCATAAAGCGATACATAGAACGTACTATTAGTTATTGAGATTTGAAAATATGATAGAGGCGGTTTTGGAATTCATCAATGGATATAGGCGCTTTTGTATTTAATTGTCCAGGATAGAGGAGGTATTGCTGTTAATTAATTAACTTGATCAGCACTATGCAAAAATGAGTAAGTAGGTAGGTAGGTACTTAGTAAACATAAATACATTAAAAGAACAGCAAAAACACAAAAGGTTCACTTTATTATTAGTATAGTAATCAATCAGATTAGTTTTAGTATTAATTGTAATTAATACTATTTCGATTTCTTTTTTCACATGATGAAAGTTATATATTTAGATAGAGGACACTTATACAAACAAAAAATGATATGAACATAATATCGTAAAGCGTTCCTGAGATATTCAAAGATTAAAATAACAATTTTCACTTTTCGACTTGACTATATTTTGGTCAATAACTCTAAAATCTGACGCTAGGATATATGTTATAAATATTTTTTTTGTTTGTATATTCTGTCCTCTATCGGAATATATAACTTTCGCTGTGTGCCATGATTATGAAAAAAAATCAAAATGGCGAAAGATCGTTAGGGATACCCTCCATACAAAAAACTTAATCCGCTTTAAATACTAAGACCTACTTCTTCTAGATGCTCACATGGTTCATCGCTTTGCTCAACATTAACACCACCATCGGAATTTGTTTCTAGTATATTTTTATTAAATGAAAGCTGTTCATTGGACTGCCAGTTGCCACCAAAGTGTTTTGTTAACAACTTTTCAACGTCAGTTATCTTCAATGTACTCATATTCACCTGAAAAGGTGGTATATCTCGAACATCATAATCAGATATACTGGACACATCACGTTTTATTATGCTTTTTGCCACCCCAAGATCTGTTTTATAATTTACTTCACCACGCATCAAGAAACGACCTGGCTTATTTTTAACTCGTGATAAATAGTATCGTTTGCATTCTGCAAACCGAAAGTGATACTGACCTGGTGGTTTCATTGTGTCATTAGCAAAACTTTTCCAATCTTTTACTGGAACGTCTCTACTGAGATGATTAATTATCCCATATTTAGAATAAATTTCATGATACTCTGTTGGGTGAATGATTTGCTCCTTATTTTTAATTTCTTTTTCTATTAGCCCAAAAATTCGGTCTGCAGGCATAAAAGAATGGCCGGGAACAGGAAAAATCAACTCAACTATTTTGATTTCTTTTGGGGCAGAGGTGGTCAGCCAAAATGCACACATTGCTATCATTGTACTATTTTTGTTTTGGGATCCACATCCATCTGCCATAATCCGAATTTTATTTTTCCCTTCCAAATTAGTATTTGATAATAAGTGAAAAACTGCCGATGCTATCTCATTAGATGATTTTCCATAAACATTTTCGGTCCATGTATATATTCTTACTTTTTCTTTTGGAAACTTATTTGTTGATGTTCCAATAACAACGGTAAAATTATAGATGTATAACTGCCTGCTATAATAGGCAGCTTGGTCTGCCACTTTTGGCAGAACTTGATTTTTTTGGCAGTCAAAAGAGATAGTGAATGTATTTTTATCATGTTCGCGTAAATATGTATAAAACATTTTAGCTTTTAATTTATGTATACGTAACGTTGTCATGAGCTGAACTTTTGCAGCATCATTCTTTTCAGCTTTCAGTTTTTCCGTTAGCTCTAAACATTTGGAGCACACGTCTGTGCCTGGAGTCTTAAAACCAATATTGTAATGTTTTACAAATATATTTCTAAAATAACATTCTTTTACCTTAAGAGATTCATCTTGTTGATTTGTTTGATACATTTTCCACATCTTTTTAATATTTAAATCAGATGGAACATATTTCCTTGTTGCAGTTGCAGATCTACAATAGTGTGATTCGATGCATTTAAATGATTGTATAAATTTGATTACATTTTCTTTTTTATGTGCATTTTTGGTCGAAATCCTGTCGCCACCTCGATTTTCGCGAGGAAAGTCCCCATTTAGCAAAAATTTTTTTGAAATATTTCGAAGTCTATGCACGCCGACACCTAAAATACGTGCAAAAGTCTTTTGGCAAACCTGTATGAGTTTGTAAGGTTTCACGTAAGTTCTAATATAAAACTTTGTGTATGATTTTGAGGTAGCGCGTTGTCCCACTTTACGTCGTCGCCGCACTGGTGTATGAACTTTAATGTATTTTAATATAAAATTATCTTGGTAAATTTTACAAGGCTTTGAATAAAAGGTTTGGTGAAATTTTCTGATGTCTTGTGGATTCAAAGAACTACACTTTAATTTGCCGCTGTTATGCTTGCACGCTCTAATATCATTTATATTGGGCGGTTTTTTGATGAATATCTGAAATTAAATTTTAGTAATTTAAATACGAAAGTGCACCTTTTCATGTAAAATGTGATAATAGGTACGCACAGCAGCAAGTAAGGTGTAACAGTTGCAATACAAAAATACCTCTAATTACGTAGGGCATAGAGGCGCGCTCAAGGTCAACATGTTACGTCTGACCTGCTGCTGTATGTACTTCTGCTACGTCTACCGACGAAAATAATAAAATAGCGTGGTAATTTTCTGCATAATGACACTCACACTAGGCAAAATACAAGGCATTAGATACATACCTTTCACGCCGTTTTACATTGCGTTTCCATTGTGATTTATTGCGGATCTTTTTCCTTGCTGTATTACCTTCTACAGGAACAATATTTATTTCCATTTTTCACTTTTTTTTCAATTAATATTTGATAAAATAACGGCACACTGTTTACAAAACAATACTCAAGACGCCATTACATTCCTAATAAAATGACGAGCTGTGATTGGTTGACTTCAGACAGAGGAGCTTTTGCACCTGAGGTATTGAATAGAGGAGGTTCTGCACCTAAACGATAATTTCAAATTTCATTTTGTATGTGATAGAGGCGACTTTGAATACGTTTGCTTAAATACAACACAAAAATGATAAGTCAGGAATGTTACCAGATATAAATATCATAAAGCATAAAATTTGGACAGAGGCGCTTTTGAATCTAGACCCCTCAATTTGCTTAATTTCGCTATTTTATATAATTCTTTTCTTGTAATTTAATTCTATTCTGTGTGTAAATAATATATCCTTCATTCTTAGTGCTTGTGCTTCTTTTCCTTCTCGTGAACTGTGTTGTTTTGTGCTGTTTAAATTGAACATTCTTATCGGGTTCGACTCCCGAATTTTATGTGGGATTACCTCGTTTAATATCCTACAAAATACTTTATTAAAATATGGAAAGTAATTAAAACCAGCGGACATGCCGATTAAAACATAGTAAAGGAAACCCTTTACTGAAATATAACATAAATTAGTCAGGTATTAAAAATTTAAGTAATTAAGGAACTTAATACCTCGATAATCTATAATATATAAAGCTTAATTCATATATCTAAGTATATATTATGTAAGTTATGATATTATGAGATAATCAATCATATACGAGTAAGTATGCTTTGCACAAGTTAATGAGATCATAAAAAATCACATTGACACCTGTCAATTGTCTATCTATCTCAAGATTAATATGATAATTTACAACAAACTGCTAAATAGCAGAAAATCAATCAATAACATTCTCATTTCCATTCCTGGGACGATCTACTGACTTATAATAGTGTTTGAAAAAATTATTCGCCCCTCTCCAATTCCCTCTTTCTAAAATCTAAAGGCACATTATTTTCAAAATTAAAAGACCTAATTGAACCCGGGCTACAATTAATTCCCAGGTCTCGTAGGGGCCTTTGAGCCATCCTGCAATTACAGTCCTTGAGACTGCTTTTACCACACCTCTTGTTGTTATAAATAAGCTTTGTAGTTCGGGTCGGAAACTCCGTCTACCTTGTGATAAATCAATCAATCTATTTACCCATTTAACTAAGCTTAGACCAGGGTCTCCTGAACAAGATAATTGTCACCCCCGATTGTCGAAACCGTTTTGAATCCGAATCTTGGCCAAAACGATATTGAAGAATTGGACCGGTCACAATGGTCGCTAGAAATGCTTAAAATTGTAAGTGTAAGTGAATATGACGTCCTGAGGTCAACAACAGTGGATAAGCTACGTGTCGAGAAACTTGAAAAATGCTGTTTTCAGCAGGTCTATTAGATTAAAGCCAAATAACTAAATCCCGTATATTCCAAATCTGTATTATCGACGACCATGATGAGCATTGGTTTATTTTTATCGCTTTAAGCATTGCTCAAATTACTCAAACTCGAAATTTACAAACTCTGCAGAATTCTTGTGATGTCCGGCTACCAAACAGGCAGGGTACTCTCGAGTGCGATTATTTGTTACCAGGAAAAATGGCCAAGGGTTAGTTGTATGGGTCACGAAGTTTGAAACCTTTGTAGATAAATGAAAGAGTGCTCAATAAAGCCTCAACCCTTTTTGTATTTTTTGGAGGATGCGCAAAAAAAGAGCGAGGGCTAATGAGCAGAAAATTTCATTTTCCAATAAAATATATTTATTAAGTTATCTTCACCAGAGGGTCCTCTGATTGGTTTTTGAAACAGTTCTCGGCCTGTAAATGAAATTCGCAGGCAATAACCTCAAGCTCGAGTCAGAAAATAGCGAGATTTAAAAAAATCATTCAGTTAAATTCCTAAAATATTTACCTCTCATCATTCGGGGGCGTGATTACAATCTTCGGGATCCTCCATCGCTGGAATCGAAACGGTTGAGCACCGACCCGGACCCCACGACAATTAGGTCTCGACCCGGACGATCTTCGAGCCGGAGATTCAGATCGTATAGGAGCTCCAGCAGGTTTTCGCCCATGACCGGCGTTGGTTCTAACTAATCTCTGCTCCACTGGGTTCGATCGACCAACGGATGCTCTCCTCTGACTGGTTATCGGCCTATGAATTGAAGGCATACCGACAAACAAAATTCCGTCAAAGCCCTAAAAGACCTGATTGAAAACACGCGACACTTCGAAGGTACTTACCTCGATGGATGAGAATGTTTTTTCATTATATTTCCAGCTTCACTGATCACCGCTATCAGCACTAAGACTAAACATGCCAATATGAGTTTGTTCAACTTCATTTTCACTTTCAAATCGGAATAGTCGATGGTCAACCACTTCACGCTAGATCCTGAGGATAACTAACTCTTGGGTCTCTAAGCAGGCTCTTTTATCCTAGTCCATAATTAGGATATAACTCGCAAGACAAACCTAAATATTGTGGCCCAGCTAATTGTTCAAAGGTAATTCATATATCTAAGTATATATTATGTAAGTTATGATATTATGAGATAATCAATCATATACGAGTAAGTATGCTTTGCACAAGTTAATGAGATCATAAAAAATCACATTGACACCTGTCAATTGTCTATCTATCTCAAGATTAATATGATAATTTACAACAAACTGCTAAATAGCAGAAAATCAATCAATAACATTCTCATTTCCATTCCTGGGACGATCTACTGACTTATAATAGTGTTTGAAAAAATTATTCGCCCCTCTCCAATTCCCTCTTTCTAAAATCTAAAGGCACATTATTTTCAAAATTAAAAGACCTAATTGAACCCGGGCTACAATTAATTCCCAGGTCTCGTAGGGGCCTTTGAGCCATCCTGCAATTACAGTCCTTGAGACTGCTTTTACCACACCTCTTGTTGTTATAAATAAGCTTTGTAGTTCGGGTCGGAAACTCCGTCTACCTTGTGATAAATCAATCAATCTATTTACCCATTTAACTAAGCTTAGACCAGGGTCTCCTGAACAAGATAATTGTCACCCCGATTGTCGAAACCGTTTTGAATCCGAATCTTGGCCAAAACGATATTGAAGAATTGGACCGGTCACAATGGTCGCTAGAAATGCTTAAAATTGTAAGTGTAAGTGAATATGACGTCCTGAGGTCAACAACAGTGGATAAGCTACGTGTCGAGAAACTTGAAAAATGCTGTTTTCAGCAGGTCTATTAGATTAAAGCCAAATAACTAAATCCCGTATATTCCAAATCTGTATTATCGACGACCATGATGAGCATTGGTTTATTTTTATCGCTTTAAGCATTGCTCAAATTACTCAAACTCGAAATTTACAAACTCTGCAGAATTCTTGTGATGTCCGGCTACCAAACAGGCAGGGTACTCTCGAGTGCGATTATTTGTTACCAGGAAAAATGGCCAAGGGTTAGTTGTATGGGTCACGAAGTTTGAAACCATTGTAGATAAATGAAAGAGTGCTCAATAAAGCCTCAACCCTTTTTGTATTTTTTGGAGGATGCGCAAAAAAAGAGCTAGGGTTAATGAGCAGAAAATTTCATTTTCCAATAAAATATATATTTATTAAGTTATCTTCACCAGAGGGTCCTCTGATTGGTTTTTGAAACAGTTCTCGGCCTGTAAATGAAATTCGCAGGCAATAACCTCAAGCTCGAGTCAGAAAATAGCGAGATTTAAAAAAATCATTCAGTTAAATTCCTAAAATATTTACCTCTCATCATTCGGGGGCGTGATTACAATCTTCGGGATCCTCCATCGCTGGAATCGAAACGGTTGAGCACCGACCCGGACCCCACGACAATTAGGTCTCGACCCGGACGATCTTCGAGCCGGAGATTCAGATCGTATAGGAGCTCCAGCAGGTTTTCGCCCATGACCGGCGTTGGTTCTAACTAATCTCTGCTCCACTGGGTTCGATCGACCAACGGATGCTCTCCTCTGACTGGTTATCGGCCTATGAATTGAAGGCATACCGACAAACAAAATTCCGTCAAAGCCCTAAAAGACCTGATTGAAAACACGCGACACTTCGAAGGTACTTACCTCGATGGATGAGAATGTTTTTTCATTATATTTCCAGCTTCACTGATCACCGCTATCAGCACTAAGACTAAACATGCCAATATGAGTTTTGTGGAGCCGTTAATGGACTTGTAATTAAAATGCTGGTATATTATAATGAAGAGGTTTATTATTGTCAACAACAAACTGAGACGCGTGCGTCTTGTGAAGTATACAGTGAAAGAGAGAGCGCGCGGATACATTGCTCAGCTATTTATACCTTATGTAATAACTAGTGTTGGGAACATCCCGACATGCTGCGGGCACACAAAGAATGTCATACTTATGTCTAATTACATTTTTTTTTTCTTAAATAAAACATCTAATTATACAATAGACAATCAAATAATTATGCATTAAACATTTTTAATTTATTAATAAACATACTTACTTTATATATGTTATACATTAGATAATTAATTAATTTTCATCAAAAAGAAATAATAAATCAAATATTATTATATTTATAAACATGGTAATTGTACTCAAACTTAAAACTTGTGTTTTATTATAACAACCAAATTTATTATGAATCTTCAATGGGTAAAATGCTTATTTTTAAAATGGAACGGATATGTGATTTACCATTGGAAGTTTTAACTTCAACTGCCCTTACAAGACCATCATGACCTGGAAAGATTTTTGTTATACGAGCCATAGGCCAATACATGACAGGTACATTATCTTCTCTTAATATTACTAGCCTACCTACTGTTACATTGGCTGTGGTATTTTTCCATTTGGGTCTGTTTTGCAATATATTAAGATATTGCTTATACCATATTTTCCAAAATGACTGCTTAAGTTGAGTACATAATTGCCAGAATTTTAGGCGATTTTCTGGAATATCAATAAAATCACTTTCAGGGTACATAGTAAG